ATATATATACACATATACATATATATACATATGCATATATATGTAAATATTTAAAATATATATACATATATGTTTGTGTATTTATATATACATAATAAATATACAAAGTTCACAAGAATATATATTATATAAACAAAAACATATATTTTCAATTCATATATAATAATAATAATTCCTTACATTTATATAGCGCTTTTCTTGGCACTCAAAGCACTTTACATAGAAGGGGGGAATCTCCTCAACCACCACCAGTGGTGGTTTATTATATATATATATATATATATATATATATACACACAGTATAAATTGCATTTTTTAATCATGTCATGGATGGATTTTTATACTGGTAGTTACCTGGATGACACCCATGCAGGAGTCCAAGAAGATGGTTCCCTTGGGTTCTTTAGATATTTTCTCATCTTTGTAGAAGTTCAAGTTGTATGATCCATCTCCCAGCTGGGTCAAATGGAAATACCTTCTCTTAAAAGACTAAAGGGAAAGAAAGAGAGAATGCAAAGATCATTACATGAAAATAGCAGATGTAAACACTCTGTTTTGATGTTAAACTAGTGACTGTTCTAAAAATAACATCTAGTGGAATGGGACCATGGGAAATTGGATTAGTGAGAACTTGAAGTTAGTAAGGCCCCACTTCCTCTCTATGGCATGGTGAGCACAAATCTGCTTCTGAGAGCAGGACTAAGGGTCAGAGTTTGCTCTGCTCTGTCCATGACTGAAAACAGCCAGCTGAACACAAAGCTATGCAGGAACTGCACCCCGTGTCATGTCAATGACATCAACACTTGATTATATGGCTATGTACAGTATACATACCATGTAAGATATGAAAATCTCCTGTATGCATGAACGTGCAGTATGCAACCAGAGTGCACTACTTGGAATACTATATCCCACAATGCAATGCACTCTACTTGAACCTTCTAGTGTGACAAATGAACTGGAAGCAATATTAACCATATTCAGCCATTTCAACCTATTTGAGATAACTAAATGCCACTTAAAGGGTTAGTTCACCCAAAAATGAAAATTAGGTTGTTTCTCACTCACCCTCGAGGCATCCTAGTGTATATGACTTTCTTCTTTCAGACGAATCCAGTTGGAGTTATATTAAAAATTGTCCTAAAATTGGCTATTCCAAGCTCTATCATTGCAGTCAGCGGGTGTTAAAGTGCTTCAGTCCAAAATAAGTTAAATAAAAAGCGCCCATCCATAAAAAACCTCTCACACGGCTCCGGGGGGTGAACAAAGGACTCCTGTAGTGAATCGATGCGTTTTTGTAAGAAAAATATCCATATTCAAAACTTAATAATCACTTTAATCTAGGTTGCGCAAACAGTTGTGCACGGAAGCAGCTCCGGGCTGATGATGTATGAGTTCAGCGTTGCGCATGCGCTGGTGAGTCTCGTGAAAACCAACGTTTTTTAACAGGAGCAAAGGAAGCAAAGTTTCCTTACTTTAGCAAAGGAAAACCAGTCTCCTCTTGGCTTATATCGAAACCCTCTGGCATTCTTCTTTACAAATCCTCGTTTTGCACTTCTAATTAGTGACCATTGTTTTGTTTTGATCTCTCCCCTGCGCTTCCGCGTTCGTCACTTCTGAGCGGCGCATGCGCAAAGCTGACCTCATACGTCATTCCCCCGGAACTGCTTCCAGTGTACAACAGTGAGCGCAAGCTACATTAAAGTGATTATTACGTTTTAAATATGGTAATTTTTCTTACAAAAACGCATCGATTCGCTACAGGAGGCCTTTGTTCACCACCCGGTGCCGTGTGAGACACTTTTTTGTATGGATGGGCGCTTTTTATTTAACTTCTTTTGGACTGAAGCACTGCAACACCCGCTGACTGCAATGATAGAGCTTGGCATAGCCAGGACAATTTTTAATGTAGCTTCGACTGGATTCGTCTGAAAGAATAAAATCATATACATCTAGGATGCCTCTGGGGTGAGTAAAACACAGCCTAATTTTCATTTTTGGGTGAACTAACCCTTTTTAAAGGGATAGTTCATCCAAAAATGACAAGTCTGTCATTTACTCACCCTCAGTTTCAAACCTGTATGAGTTTATTTCTTCTGTTGAACAAAAAAGTATATATTTTTAAGAATGGTGGTATCCAAAGAGTTGACAGTAGCCATTGACTTCCACAGCATTTTTTCCATATTATGATTCTTCAAAACATCTTTTGTATTGTGTGTTCAACAGAAGAAAGAAACTCATACAGGTTTGGAACAACTTGAGGCTGAGTAAATGATGGCAGAATTGAAATTTTTGGGTAAACTACCCATTTAATGAATTAAATTAGTGATGCTTTATAGCTTAAAAAGTTTAAAATAGTAGTATTTTTTTTCAAACACATGTTGTTTCACATCAGAAGACAGTTTCATCAACTGGGGTCATATGAATTAACTTTGTCTAATTTGTGTGGGTGTGTGTGTGTGTGTGTGTGTGTGTTTCAACTTTGAGAGGTGAGTAAATGATGAGATAATCTCATTCATTCATGCATTGTGGTGGCAACAAAATAGTCTACCCCTTTTTGAGATGTTTATCTTTGCATAATGTGTTGTGTTTTGTATTTTTTTAAGTATACATTATAAACAGTGTACTATTCAGTATGCTAGTATTTTACTCCGAACATAGTGATTATCTTAATCACAAATTTATCATCATTAAATCAAAAAAGGGATTGTGTAATGGCTAACTCACCCTCATTGTAACACTGATGGCACTGTTCATGTTTGCTTTATACAGCCAGCCGTGTTTGGACACGCCCCCTCTTTGAGAGCCCAATGAGGCGGCATCCTTTAGGAACCAGAGAGGAACATAAAAAGCACACATAAGAACACATAGGTGCAATCATACACCCACACACTGTGACTTCATCTGTCTCTTCAAGCCTGAACAAAAACACATTGATATCTAACGCAGTTTCCCACATTAGAGCCTCTGGATGCCCTCCTCCTTGTTTCAACATGAAGTCCATTTTCACCTGACCCCCTCAATTATTCATGTTCTCCCTCATCCCTACAGGGAACAGCCTTCAAACTGTACAAACACACTCCATCTCTGAGTGAGCGCTCAGACAGAACGGCAGACATGGAGCTGGAATTCTGGGAAATGTAGGTGAAACCCAATCAGGGAAGAACCTTGCCCAGAGACAGGCGAGTCCTGCATCTGCTTTTTCTCTAAGGCTAATGTAGTCCCAGAGGCTCGGCACAAACGCATAACTAATAAGCTGTAAGTTCCTTATTATTTATTTATTCTGCTAATCAGCCAGTGAGAACAGAGAGAAAGAGAGCAAGAAAAATCATGTGTTGTAATAGGCTGATGAAGTAGGGTGTTAGGAATCATGGGCAAACGCCCCTTACCTCCTCCTTATCTGCATCCTCGTCCACCTCAAATACATGACTAGCTAGTTTCTCGGGCCGAGGAACTTTACTATAAAAAACAAAAAACAAAAAACAAACATAAGACAGATAGACTTTAACATTTTTTGCCTGTGCAAAAGTCAACGTCACAAAGCTAGAGTACTGAGGGTGGTTGCCAGAGTGTTGCTAGCATTTTCTAAGGTGTTCTGAGTGGTTTTTAGGCAAAAAAAATCTCAACAAGCTAAATTATCATTCATGTTTGTAGCACATACTGTCTAACAATTCATGTCTAACAAAAAGGTTCAGCAAGTATTACTCAAGGACACCGTTGCTCTTATCACTCACACAGCTGATGCAAAACACATATGAGTGTGCACATGTGCGTGTGCGAGTGTTTGACTCCTGTATGTGTGTTCAAGGAAACTGCATTAGAGGAAATATCATGAGTGGTGGGCGGATCGTAATGCATGATGACGATGACAATGAAGCTTCACGTACACAGCACAAATTATCTCTGTCTCCTCCATCACCATCATCCCTCCTGCTTCCTCTGCGACCTTTAGCAAATGCCAGACTCTTGCTGTCTCCTGATCTCCACAATGTGATTTGCCAGTTATTGACCGCTAAGACATAATTTCTCCCATCAGTTAGTTGAGACAGGAAGTGACATCAGTGGACAAAAGACACTTGTCTGGGTTGCTGCCCTGTCCTAAAACAGGTGGAGTATTTATGTGCTGAATGGCAAAAGCGAGAGGAAGAGAAAGCAAAAGAGAGGAGGAAATAGGAAAAGGGCTGCTGATGGGTTGTTGTTGTGTGAAGAAAGGAGCATGTCCCGATTTAGCTCTAGACGAGACCTTGCTGTCAACACTGGGGCAGGACAGGACGAGGACACTGATAAAATTAGTGAGTAAAATAGCATCTCTCTCTTTCACACACGCACACAAACACACTGTGGGCAAACAATGACTTTTGGGATTTATTCCAATACCTAGTGAGCTGCCTTGCTGTCAACTACCTACATAGGCAGCTGCTTTCTAAGTAGAAAATAAAATTAAAATTAAATGTGTATATATATAAAAAATAAAATTGTATTAAATGATTCTCAGAGCTATCAAAATAAAATATCCTGCTTCCAAAAATTAACGGCTAAACAGAAAAATTACCACTAAAAATTTTAAAATGTCAAATATTGGCCTATTTATCTACTTCACAATAGGCCAGTCAACCACTACTTCTATGGTATCACACTAAATTAAATAATTCATTTTAAATATTTATTACATATTCAAAAACTTGTTAAAATGATATTAATGTGTATTTGCTAAATGTTGAAGGTATGAGAAAGTATTACAAATAATAGCAAGGGAAAAGCTTTAAAAAATACTTTCCATTTACTTTCTCTATTTAAAACATTTCTGTTTAATAATTTATTAGCACTGTCCAAATAAATGACACTAGCCAAAAAAAAAAGAAAAACCTGGAGCTGTCAAATTAAAAGCCCGCTTCCGATACTTGTAGGCCAAACAGCAAAAGGCCGATGACAAAAATAAAAAAATATTGGCCAACATATCGGTCAACCACTTGTGATGTACAAAGAACAGCTGGACTTAAAATAACTTCAAATAGCTATCTTTGCCTCTTTCCATTGCTTTTCTCTTTATTTCGATCACTTTTAGCAGTCTTGTGGTCCTTACTTTGGAAGATGTCGGAAGTCTCCAGAATAATCTTCATGCTTGTAGTTCACCACATGCCAGTCAGAGTTGTAGGTCTTGATGCACTGTAAAAGAAAAAAAAATCAAACATGTCTGTCTTCTCTCTACTGTCATATGGAAAGCACATAAACACATATGCCAGCATGCACACACACAAACAAGGACCCCAAATCCCAAAAAGGCTAATACACTTCCAGTAATCTAATAAGTCTTATGTTTTGCAAAGCAATCTGTGGCAACAGCTTTTTAAAAAATAATTTCCTCTGGCACTGGCTGTATCCCTGTGCTAATCACTGTTAAAGCTGTCACCACACTGCACCACAAACAGACACTAATATATCCTCTGGGCATTACATTAAAGCAGATTCAATTCTATTTGCTTTGTTGGCAAGGCAAGCATTTAGTCATCAGCAGTTCTTAAAGGGATAAGATGAAACTAAAAGCCTCTAAAACCCAAAATGGCTTTCTCACTCTTATTTTAAATCCAATTAATGGAGAGAAAGAGGAAGGGAGCGAGAGAGTAGATGAGTTGACAAAGTAGATTTAAGACCATTCTGAACTAAGCATTCAAGTGTTTATTCTGATTAAGCATTCAAGTGTTTATTCTGAACTAACCATCTCTATACTCCATCTGTTACTTTGATTTTTCCTTTGTGGTAAAATAGAAATACAGTAAAATAATATATATATATATATACAGTGGGGCAAAAAAGTATTTAGTCAGCCACCAATTGTGCAAGTTCTCCCACTTAAAAAGATGAGAGAGGCCTGTAATTTTCATCATAGGTATACCTCAACTATGTAGACCTGCACCAGGCTGGGAAGACTGAATCTGCAATAGGTAAGCAGCTTGGTGTGAAGAAATCAACTGTGGGAGCAATTATTAGAAAATGGAAGACATACAAGACCACTGATAATCCCCCTCGATCTGGGGCTCCACGCAAGATCTCACCCCGTGGGGGCAAAATGATCACAAGAACTTTAGTAAAAAAAATAACAATAAAAATAAACAAACTGTAAATAAGAACTAGATTTTTACATCATCTGGACAAAACATGAGTAGTACCTATGAAGCGTTGTGCGTGTGTGTGTGTATTGCTGTGTTGTTGATAGGGTGTTTTGAGTGCTTACTTCACTGTAAAACAAATCCCACTTCCATTTTGTCAGATAAACTCTGTTTTAAAGGTTGATTGAATCATCTAATGTAGAAAAAGTTGGCATTGAATAAATAAATACAATATATAATAAAAATCAATGTTTAGGCCAACTTAAAATATTAAATATTAAAAAGTTTGGAGAGGAGGATCATACCAACACGCTGCTGAGCAGATCACTGATCTCCCATATTCCCTTGCACTTGAATAATTTAAGTTTTTGGTAAAAAAAAAAAAAGGGGATTTGCAAATGCAAATATTTATCAATCAGAATTAGAATACATTTTGAATACGTTTTGTTAAAAGAAGTTATGTTTTATGGTAAGTCAACATTAGTGTAGTTTCTACAAAATTGTTCAGGGACATAGAGATAAATCTAAATAACCTAATAAATCTAATTAATGTAACTAATGTTTAATTAAATTGATAAACTGTTTTTTTTTTTGACATTTCTGAAAGAGATGTTAAAGAGATGATAATTCAAAGGCCTTAAAAATTTTCATATCAAATATTATAATATAGGCTTTATAGGGTTAAATTAAGTCATATTATTCTTATAAGAACAACCACGTCTCATTTTAATGTAAATAATACGTAATATTAGGTTTAGATTGCACCTTGTTTGCAAAATTCAGCCCTATTTGCACAAATACAAATACCTTTGCACTATTACCACCTGTAAAAAGCAAGATATTTGCCTGCATTTTCTGATCTAACAGCAGTAATTCGTCAAATGATGATCAAATGCTTGAGAAGAGAACCGTTTCCAGTCATATTTCCAGTGCATTTTTAAGAGATGATTCAGGTGCTTGGACTGCAGTGATTGGGTGATGCAGTACAGTCTCAGTAAAGTGTGTCAGATTATGGTATTCCACTGCATCCTCTCAGATCCTTTAAATTGAGGAATGCAAATACTGTAGCAGCATGCAAATAGCATTAGACTAGGCACCAAAATGACTGGGTGTGTTTGCAACCTGATTTGCATAATTCCTTTAATGAATCGTATATGCTAACACAATACAGAAAACATGTGCAAATAAACAACACTATCAGTGAGTGAAATCATTCTTCATAATCTAATTAGGGTGATAAAAAAAAAAAAAATTTGACTCCTTACGCATGCATAACTTCGTGCAGTGCAATAACGACGTGATTTGCAGCTGTCGCACTTTTCGTAATGTCATTAGGCTATAGCATTTTATTTTAAAAATGGAGAGCTTCCTTGTGCTAAGTAGGCCTGCCCTCTACTAAAGATTTTTCTAGTCAACTAGTCGCACGTTATATTAAATTGATTAATATAATAATATATTCACCATACTTCAATATAGGCTATAGGCAGACGTATTAGGCTAGAGCCTATTCTGCGCTCAAGCTCGCGCATAAAGCAATTGCCTCAAAGCACCGGGAAAGTGATTATGAATGTGTCAGGGGGAAAGGAAGACATTTTAATTATTATTAATAAACTAGTGCTTTCTGAGTCAGTGTCGGGTGCAAAGATGAGGTTGCCTTTAATAGAAATGCACCTTTTCATACGGACTACAAAATTAAAGAATATTACAAAATCGAGTGGGCGAGTTTTCCTTAAATTTATTTTATTATTCATATAAAAATTATAATAACCTGTTTTGGTTATATTTACTATTAATTGCAGAAGGTGCGCTCAGCAAAAATGACGCGAATATTGATGGTTTTCACGCTTAAGTAAAGTAAAAGACTGCTTCTTAAACCAGAGAAGGTGAACATGTTGGTATTCCTGTGGGGGGGAAAAACATTTTTACAAGTTTAGTTTTACTTTTCTTTTTGTTTTGTTTTCATTTTGAAAAGCTTATCTTTGCTGTTTACCTGACGTTATGCTATGGAGGCTTTTTTGATTCCTCAGTGTTTGCTAAACGTTCTGTAATGTATTAGTCATTATATAGCCTAATACAGCGTGTAGGCCTATGCCATGCCTCATCTTATTTGTTTTTGTTAATAAGGTTTTGTAAGCTACACTCTTAAAAATAAAGGTGCTTCACGATGCCATAGAAGAACCTTTTTGTCTAAATGGTTCCATAAAGAACCTTTAACATCTGAAGAACCTTTCTGTTTCACAAAAGGTCCTTTGTGGTGAAAGAAGGTTCTTCAGATTACAAAAAGGTAAGAAAGAGATGGTTCTTTAAAGAACCTTTGACTGAATGGTTCTTTGTGGAACCAAAAATGGTTCTTCTATGGCATCGCTTGAAGAACCTTTTGAAGCCCCTTTAAGAGTGTAGTTTGTCATTGAATCTTACTGTTTTATTGTTGTTGTGCATTTTAATTAAAAATAATGAATCCATCTTCTTTTTTTTAGTCTTAAAAGGTGAAAGGTGTATAGATGTAAGCTAAACAGACAATTATATTTTATTGTAAAACCTGACAAGATCATGAAATCGAAAGTGAAGCATCTGAAGCTGGCTTATAACAAAGCAAAAGAGGAACTCCCGTTCACAAAACTCAAATCACAAATAATACTACTGATGAAAAAGAATGGGTGGAATGTTAACTACTTTCGTTTCCATATAACTATAAACTACGATAAAAGTTCATCAGCATGCATTGATTAAAATTCGTGCTCGTGCAACCAACTGACATTGATGTATTTTTGAAAAGCAAAAATTAAAGGCAGAGTAAGTGATTTTTCAAAAACACTTTAGAAAACTGATTCGGGCCGAATCGCAAAACAAACTGGTAGCCAATCATCAATAGGGGGCGTGTCTACTCGTGATGTGGAGGAGAGCGCGTTCAGTGCATGGGAATGACATTAAGCCGAGCCGAGCAACAGAAAGATAGAGATGGCAGATAAAAAACAAAAGAGGAAACCGAATGCGGAACGACAAGGCAAGAAGTAGGACCCGTGTAAATATCGGATCAGCTTTCCAGCGCTGGAGAGAACTCAAGGAGCGGAGGCCTGCGATCAGATGCCGAGGTTGCTTTTTTTCTTCTCAATAGGTGAGTAACAACGTGTCTACAACAGCTAAAGTCTGCCTACACTGGATGCGATCAAACGACCGTTGAAAAATTTGTCAGCACGTCATAAATAGAACCCGGCAGCAGTTTTCTGTCGGGGATTTGTTGCGCTGCGCTGCGCCGCGCCTCACGTCTGTAGACACGGTGTAACATTGGTTTTGCTTTGTTTCACAGAACTAATCATTGCCTGGGTTGCGTACGTACAGTATATGTGGGGCGGAGCTATCAAAATAGGGGCAATACCCTTTTGGGGTAGGGGCATGTTTGTTTTGGTGATTTCAAATGTCAACATTGGCTACCAGAAATCACTTACTCTGCCTTTAAGTTTGTCCAACTCTAAACCCAGTCCCCAAGTAAATTAGGTTATTAAATAAAAAAATAGCAAAACGAGTTGCGCAGTGTCCCCACCACTTTTCAAAGCAAAGTTACGCCACTGAAAGAATATATTGATTAAGTATAGCCTTTATAATAATTAATCCTTTTACTTTGTATGAATATTTTTGATTAATATTATATCAAAATTTAGGGTTTGAACCAAACTAACAACTAGCATATACAGTAGGGGTTATGGTCATGTCTCTGGCTTTATCATTATACAGAGGTTCAGATGTGCCTTTCTAGGAGTCGTCTCAGTCTGCATTCATACTCCAGCACACCTTATGTGAAACCAACATTGAATATGAAGCTAAAATGGCCATCGCTGTATAGCCCTGGGTTTTACATGAAACGCTGCTCTCACTTTAACCAGCTTGTGTGCTTGTAGAATCTTAAATAAGCAAACTATGCTGTTGCACTAAAATAATCTTGGTGAACTCATCCCTAACCAGTCTGAGGCGTGCTCTATGCTCTGAAGTCAGTTTACTAGCCTCGACTGGACTGGGCATGACTTTATACACTGCTGAAGCGTTGTATGAGAACCTGTGTGTGTGTGTGTGTGTGTGTGTGTTGCTTACAGAACACTGTTTTTTTGTTCCTCATATACCAAGGCCCATAACAATGATCTCTTGCATACACACCCATTTCTAAAGGAAAATAAGTAGATGGTTCCATTCAGAGAAGCAGCTTGAGAAATCCCCTGAGACAATGTTACTGTAATGTTATTTGAGGGTCGTATAGTGGTTGTGATTGATGGAAAAGCAGGCTCTTGTGAACACAGAAAGAAAAGTGATGCATGACTAGTGAGCCGGAGGAGGAAGCAAACTCAAGACACACCACAGAGAGACAGCGAAAATTAACATCTGCACAGGTTACTCAGCTCTCAGAATTATGCTGAAAAATAAAATTTCAGAGGAAATCACAGCATGAATTAGAGAGAACAAAAAATACTGACAGAACTGAAAGTGTACATGAGCCTCTAGCAGGGAAAAATAGATGACAGAACAATGACGGAATGGATACTGAGGGGAGAGCAGATGGTCTGAGAGCTGGATGTGTACAGATAAACAGACGTTCTTACCTGAAAGTCATCAATAGGAAACTGCAGCATGTCTCTGAGGACATCACTTAGTATTTGAGTTTTCCTCTGGACAAGTACGCTCTCATAGTCCAACGGCTCGATCACTTTTGGTTTTACCTGGAGACAAACACACACACACACACACAAGTTCAACAGAAGTATACCAGAAGAAAAAATGACCATCAGTTAGAAAAGCTCATGGAAGGCTTTGCTTTTGCTTTTGTTAAGTGACTGAAGATCCTCTGGTGTGTTATCAAAAGCATTGTTATGAATTCAGTCAGGACATTAAGGGCGTCATATACTCAATATTTTTTCCCCTGAGGTACACTTTTAATTTACTGTGTAAATCATAAGTAAAATGTAAGAATGTTTTTTAAAGAGGATTTACACTATCGTTGCTTTCTTTGAGGAGGCAAGGTAGGCAATGTCTCAAAAGCGCTTCACCTTAATCGAAGGAAAATTTGAAAAAATTTTCAACAGATTAAAATCCAAACCCAGAGAGGGTGCATCCGAAACTAGTAGGCACTACATATGGTTTTAAATGTACTTTGCAACTGTTAAACA